TTATTATTATTTTTTGGGAGTTAAAGTAAACATAATTCGAAGTTTTTTTTTCATTTTTTATTTTTATTTTTATAATGGAGTTGAAATAATTTGTAAATAGAAAAACATACGAAAAAAAGGGGAAAAAGTAAACGACATGTCGATAAGATGATATAAAAATAGTCGATTGATGAAAGAGCAGTTTTGTAGCGGAGTAGAGCCGTCTTTTTGTTGCTCTACGACTCTTTTGACGATCAAAGGCTACCAGAAGAGCTACTGGGAGAATTCCTTTGACGGTGGAAGTTTTCCGGTTGTTAATTTGCTTCAACGATACGCAAACGCATCTTCTTCCGCTGCAAACAATCGGAGGAGGAATTTTCAGCGGGGAAAACTTCAACTGAGATTTTAATTCGGAGAAGAGAGCCAAGTTAACGGCGGAAATGGCTTCCATGGAGGGTCTGGTGCCAATAACCAGGCATTTCCTGGCTTCCTACTATGAAAAGTACCCATTTACACCTCTATCTGACGATATCTCTCGCCTCTCAACTGAGATGCTCGCCTCGGCGAACATTTTGCTTGATGAACTACCGCCTACTCCAGGTTCCGCCATTGACTTGTATCTTAATGTTTGTAGGTTAGGGCATGATCTCGCTGGTTGCTGATGGTTTGAAGTTGAGCTTGTTCTCTTTTAGATCTCTACTCCTGCTTTGTTCCTTAGTGTGATTTTAGAGTTTATTTGCAGTTCTCGCATGTGTTTGGCTTGTTATGCTTTTAGAAGTTTATTTTAGCCTATGCTCGTCCCATGATCTCCACCATTCAAATTGGGCTATTGTGGTTGAAGACTTGAAAATTATGTTTTTGATCAACTATTTAAAGAAACGATATGAAAGATAACTGATATTTAATTTTATTATTGTGTACGCAGTGATTATGTCACTGAAGTTGGTTATAATACAAAATTATGTCTAGATCTATTCTGTGACCAGTTCAATTGTTTTCACCTTCTTGTTTACTCTTTGAAAATGATCATCATATTGGACGAGTGTTCGCTGTTAACCACTTCATTTTAATTACTAATTTTTGGTGTTTTTCTTGTGGGGATCATCCTCATTTCAGAGGAAAGCACCCTTTTTGATGAAGCTAATCATCCTCCTCCTCATAAAATTGATGAGAATATGTGGAAGAATCGGGAGAACGTGGAAGAAATCCTGTTTCTGCTTGAAAAATCTTGTTGGCCTCAAGAGGTAAGATTTGTGCGCCAAACATTCTTAGGTACAGAAGACCTTGCGTTGTTGAAGCATCTTGAGTTGTTTTTCAATGCTTGGCTTTGGAAGCTGAGCCCAAACGTATTTATATGTTTGAATTGCAGGTTCAGAAGGAGTCTGCAACTGGCGAGTCTGAACTTGCTAATATTCTAGGAAAGCTAGAAGAAAAATTGAAGAATACCTTAAAAGTGTTGGTGGATTTCCAATCTAAAAATTCTGAGCACGTGTTCAACACAGGTTTCTTTTCATACATCATTCATTATTCAAGAGGAAGTCCTTTTGAAAGCGTATCTTGTCTATAACGTTTCACCTATCATTTGGTTGATTTTTTGATATGTATTGTTATTATGAAACAATGTAGTTTGGTTGAAGATTGTTGATTTTTCTAATTTTTTTTTCTGACAAATAAGGAATTGTTGTATTAAAAGAAACTAATGAACAAGAGGAGAAGAATAAATCATTTATAACCAACACTAAAGGAAATATTAAAAAGGATATCCAATTGGGTTCAAGCCATGGTAGCATCTAGTATTTAAGTATCCTATGAATTACCTTAGAAAATAGCAACCAAATAGATTAGGGTATGGTGGTTGTACTATGAGAATGGTTGACGTACACATAAGCTTGCTTGGACACCCATGGATATAAAAGAAATGAAAAAAAGGGATATCCCTTTGGTTTGATAGAAACATAGATAATAGACTATTTTTTGAGAGCTCTTTGTATAGTGAGCTGCCTAGAAGCCAAAAGGAAAATTATAGCCTCAGTTTCACTTTCACCCATTATCCTTGAGATCCCAACAGCTTGGTGTTTCTTTCTAACTAAAGGCATCATCAAAATGTAATCTTGGCATAGTACAAGCAATTTCCAACTTTCTGGAAAACATCTATCCAAACCATAGTTGAAAGAGGCTATTTGTTTCTAGTAGTCCTCTAAGACCAAAACCTACAGAAGTTCTTTTCCAACATGCATGTAGCGTTGCATCACCTGAAAAAGTAATTTTGGGACTTTCTGTCTTCATGGCATGTTGTGGACCAACCAGTTGACAGAAATCAATTAGAATTCCATATATTGGATGATGTCTAAAAAACTGAATTTCCTTTGTAGAGGGACCACAAGAAAATTCCGATTTTTTTAGTCAGAGTAGTAGCTGAAGGCTAAGAGTGTTTGGGAAGCTCGGAATAGTAGCTGCAACTTTCTTTTATGATATATATATATTTTTTTAAATAATAATACAGAGAGAGAGAGAGAGAGAGAGAGAGGAAAGTTCTATTGGAGGCCCTGCGAGCAGGAAACTTCATAATGAGGGAGATCATTGAGTTTGGAAGCTGGACAGTAGCGGCTATGTCCATTGTTAAATTTCGCTTTTCTTGGTTAACGATAGGGAAACCAATCCTCTCACCTCATTAAGTGTCCGTGCAGTCTCTAGTTTCTTATGAAGTGTATAGTTTTCTTCCAGTCGCTAGCTCTAGGATTTCTGAATAATATTAATAAATTTCAGATCAGAAATCCTCTTGCTAGCAGGGAAATTGGGATTGTCTTTACAGATGTAATCGGGAAAAAAGCAGCCAATCTATCTAGATCTTGCTCGTTTATGGGGGCTTCATGGTCCAAGTTGTCGGATGTCTTTAGCTTACCGTTGGATTTTCCTAAACATCCTCAAGACTTGTGATTCAAGGCTTGACTATTCAGAGGTCTAAAATTAACTACAAGGTTTCCTGGTTGATGCATTTGTGCCTTGCCTCAGAGCACTTAATTGTGGATAGGAAAAAAATTCATTCATTAAATGAAATGGTACTAAAGGGAGAAACCTATCTAAAGAAATTACAAAAACTTCTCCAATTGTGCTTTATTTTGGAAAACTTGGTTTATGTAAATGCATTTGTGCTTTACTTTGGAACACTTGTTGGAGAGTAACAGAGAAAAATTTTCAAGGAAAGGAGAAGTCTATATTGAATATGGGATGTTAGTTTTAATTCTCTTTTTGGTGCCTTAAATTAACCGTTTTGTTATTATTACCTTTCTATTTTGATGATCAATCAGAGGTTGTTTTTGCAACTCCTAGATACTTTGATGTGCACTCACCTTCTCACACATGAATTATTTTGTTTCTTATTTAAACTAAAGGTCCGACCTTATTTTGCAACTTTAATTTTCTAAATTTTGGACAATTGATCATCATTATGTGCTTTTGTCCACCAAAGATCATGTTCAATATAGATGTACTTGAGAAAGTTCCCTTGTTTTTACCCTTTTTGTAGCCTAGAGTCTTCTCCAATTGTTGTAAAACCCTCCAACAAAAAGATATTTTTTTTTTGTTAGAATGGCTGTTGGAGAGTTGTTTTGAATTTTTGTTTCTCTCTACAATTTCTTTGAGGATTATGATTGGGGTAATTTGGTGAAGGTTTTCCTGTTCGCAGTTAGATTTTCATTTGTTTCAACCAATACTTCAAAAACTTATTCAAATTTTATTCATGGTTTTGGGGTGCAAAAGATCTGAAGTATTGTTTAGTGCACCTTTGGCTTTTGAGGTTTTGACGTTCCTTTCTTGTTTTTGGGCTTTCAATGGGGTGTAACCATAGATTTTTCTGGGGTTCTTGGATGGCTGTTCTGATTTGTGTTGGTTTCCTTTTCTTATCCTTTTTCGCACTTTCTTTTTGTAATTTTCTTATTGTATTCTTCATAAATTGATATACTCAATTGTTTCTTATAAAGAAAAATATATTTGCAGTAATGACCTACATGCCTCAAGATTTTCGAGGAACAATAATTCGTCAGCAAAGAGAGCGATCAGAGAGGAATAAGCAAGCAGAGGTTGATGCTTTGGTTAATTCTGGAGGAAGCATACGTGATCGATATGCCCTTTTATGGAAACAACAGATGGAGAGGTATCTTTTGTTTGATTTAATTTCCTTCATTCTGGCTGAGGTTGTAGGTGGCTTTATAATGAAGGTCGTAGTTATTGATTACTATTTCAGGAGGAGACAGTTAGCACAGCTGGGTTCTGCAACAGGTGTCTACAAAACCCTCGTAAAGTATTTGGTTGGAGTTCCAGAGGTACAAATTCTCAGTTAACTGTTCATACATCTATTTTGCTCCCTGGCCAACAACTATAACTACCACGTTTGTTAACGAAGAAAGTAATGAGAGAATTACTCTTCCGCCTTTCAGTAGAAAAGCTTTCTTCCATCGGTTGTTTGTGTTTTTGTTTTTGTTTTATTTTATTTTAAAATAATACTAATAAAAATAGAAACAGAATGGGCTTTCATTTAGCATACGTAAGTACAAAGAAGGGTCCTGACAGAAAAAAGGCCAACTTGACACTTACTCGTTCTTCTATTAGTCCAACTTGACATTTACTTTCTTCCTAAATGAGCAATTATTCCAGTATTCCCCCTTTGGACATGATACTTCCTTTCTAATCCCCACTCTTGCACTCACTTTTTCGATCCTAAGCTTTTTGAATGAGCAATTATTAGGATTAACCTTAAAAAATGGTTGAGGCATCTAAGCTGTCTCTCACTGATATAATAAGAATACGAAGAGTCCCATTTGTCACTCTTGCCTTGGAGCTACTAACACCTGCAATTCAACTTCGCTTTTGATTAATCTTCAATTCTGACATATCTCAATTTATAAGTCTGAAAGGGTAGATCAATTTGTTGAAACTAATAATAGCTAATAATAGAATTTGAATTAGTTGAGGAGGTGAATTCAAATTCATCCACAAAATCATCCACAAAAATCTCAACCAATTCCGGGAATCCCCCTATAAAAGGACCTCCCTCCCCATCACTCAAATCACTCCTTCTCTCAATCTCAATTCAGTTTTCTGTTGTCACCAACAACTGGTATCAGAGCAATCTTGCAGCCATTAATTCAGTTTTCTGTTGTCACCAACAACTGGTATCAGAGCAATCTTGCAGCAGCAAAAATGGCAGCAGAAAAACAAGTTGAGAACTACGTTCAGCCCGCCATCCCGAGGTTCGACGGTCACTATGATCATTGGGCGATGTTGATGGAAAATTTTCTCAGATCAAAGGAGTTCTTTGATATGGTGGAAACAGGTTATGAAGAGCCAAATGAAGGCGAGGTACTCTCAGCTGATCGACAGCAACGGTTGACAGCATCGAAGTTGAAGGACCTGAAGGTCAAGAACTATTTATTTCAGTCCATTGATAGGACTATCTTGGAAACAATGCTTCAGAAGAAGACATCCAAGGAAATTTGAGACTCTATGAGGAGGAAGTATCAAGGCTCAACGAGAGTAAAACGTGCTCAACTACAGGCAGTTAGGAGAGACTTTGAAATTCTCCAAATGCAAAAGGGAGAAACGGTGAATGATTATATTGGCAAGGTTATAAGTCTTGCAAGTAAAATGAGGATGCATGGTGGTTCAATCACAGATGTTGCGGTCGTAGAAAAGATTTTGCGATCACTAACACCAAAGTTCGATTACATTGTATGTTCTATCGAAGAAGCAAACAATGTCGAGGAAATGCAAATAGATGAACTCCAAAGCTCCCTGTTAGTACATGAGCAGAGGCTCAATCGTACAAGTGCAATAGAGGAGATGACAGCCTTAAAGATATCCACACCAAGTGAAACTTCAAGCTCTAGAGGTAGAGGGCAAAGAAGAGGCAGAGGTCGTGAGAGAGGCAGTCGAGAAAGAAGTGGAGATGTTGGCAGGTCAGCAGACCTAGTCAGAAACGATTATGACAACAAAGGCAAGAGACACTTTGACAAGTCTAAGGTGGAATGTTACAGATGTGGACGCCTTGGACATTACAAAAATGAATGCTATACCAGGCTCCAAAATGAGAAAAGAAATCAATCCAATTTTGTGGAGAGAAGAGAAGAAGAAACATTATTAATGTCATTCCATGCTATGAAGGTTGCAAATCAAGGTGTATGGGTCGTAGACTCTGGATGCAGCAATCATATGACAGGTTGTAAGGAATTCTTCTCAACTTTAGATGAAAATTTTCATACTACGGTCTCTCTTGGCAACAATTCATCTCTCCAAGTGATGGGGAAAGGAACCGTAGACATCAAGACTAGAAATGGCTTTGTAGAGTCTATTTCTAATGTATTCTACATTCCTGATCTGAAAGCCAACTTACTTAGTATCGGTCAGTTACAAGAAAAGGGGTATGTGATCACATTCCAAAATGATGAATGTGAAATTTATGACTCCAAAAGAGGATCGATTGCTAAGATGAAGATGACCACCAACCGTCTATATCCGTTGACGTTAAATATCGTTGCCAAAAGTTTGATGGTGAAGAAAGAAGATACCACTTGGCTTTGGCATTTTAGGTATGGTCATCTACACTTCAAAGGATTAAAGACGTTGTCCTCAAAGAAGATGGTAACTGGGTTGCCAGATATTACTCCACCAACGGAAATTTGCGAGAGCTGTGTAGTAGCAAAACATGAAAGAAACTCTTTTCCATCTGGAAAATCAAGAAGAGGTCAAGCAATTTTGGAGTTGATTCATTCAGGCATATGTGGTCCCATCTCTCCTGCATCAAATGGTAACAAGAAATATTTCATGACCCTCATCGATGATTTTAGTCGAAAAACATGGACTTATTTCTTGCACGCCAAATCAGAAGCCTTTGACTGCTTCAAAAAATTTTGTGCTACTATGAAAACCAAAACTGGAAGAAGAGTCAAGGTTTTAAGAACTGACAGAGGTGGAGAATTCTGCTCGAAAGAGTCTATTCAATTTTGTGAAGAGAAGGGCATACGGAGGCAATTAACAACAACATATACACCACAACAAAATGGTGTGGCCGAAAGGAAAAACAGGATCATTCTGAACATGGTTCGAAGTTTACTAAATAAAGGAGAAGTCCCGAAGGAATTCTGGCCAGAAGCTGTTGTGTGGTCCGTTCACATTCTCAATTGGAGCCCTACCTTTTCTGTTAGAGATATGACTCCACAAGAAGCATGGAGCGGAAGAAAACCTGCAGTAGACCACTTTAGAATCTTTGGGTGCATAGCATATGCACACGTTCCTGATGAGAAAAGGAAGAAACTTGAGGACAAGAGTTCGAAGTGTGTGTTCCTTGGAGTAAGCGAGACCTCTAAGGCATACAAGCTCTACGATCCTTTGACAAAGAAGGTGGTGGTGAGTCGTGATGTAGTCTTTGACGAAAATAAGACTTGGACATGGGAAGAAAAGATCACTGTGAATCAGCAGATTTCTGTAGATCTTGAAGAAGAACAAACTGAAGCTCCTATTCAGCCTCACTATGAGCATGGAGAGAGCTCATCACAAGCTCAACAAGAACCAGTAGAAGAAGATCATGATCATAATCAAAGACATCCAAGAACAAGAAAAAGACCAAACTGGATGATTGATTATGAGATGGATTATGAATCAAGTGATAGTGGTTATTTTGCATTCTTTATGGGTAGTGATCCAATTGTCTATGAAGAAGCAGTAAAAGAGAAGAAATGGAAGGAAGCTATGGTCAGTGAAATCAAATCCATAGAGAAGAACAAGACTTGGGAGCTCACTGATCTTCCTAGAGGGTAGAAAACAATCGGAGTAAAATGGGTTTTCAAAACCAAGTTGAATGAAAACGGTGAGGTGGATAAGTACAAGGCGTGACTTGTTGCAAAAGGATACAAGCAAAAGTATGGAATTGATTGTAAGGAGGTATTTGCACAGTGGCACGTCAAGACACTATCAGGCTCATAATTTCTATTGCAGCACATAAATCTTGGCCTATTTATCAACTTGATGTGAAATCAGCCTTCTTACATGGAGAGCTTCAAGAGGAAGTATATGTGGAGCAACCAGAAGGTTTTGTTCAAAAAGGCAAAGAGGAACAAGTATACAAGTTGAAGAAAGCTTTGTACGGTTTGAAGCAAGCTCCGAGGGCATGGTACAGTCGCATTGATTCTCATTTTGAAAAGATGGGATTCACTAAATGCCCGTATGAACATACGTTGTATGTGAAAACTGAAAAGGGAGGTAACATTATCATTATTTGCTTATACGTTGATGATTTAATATTTACTGGCAATAATGAAGAAATGTTTGAATTTTTTAAGAAGAGCATGATGAAGGAATTTGAAATGACAGATCTTGGCTTGATGAGATATTTTCTTGGAGTAGAAGTTACTCAAACTCCCGCAGGTAACTTTATCTGTCAGAAGAAGTATGCTCAAGAATTACTTGAAAGATTTAAATTGGATGAGCGCACATTTGGAACTCCATCAGAATTGGGTTTAAAGTTGCACAAGGACATTGACGGGCGAGAGGTTGATAATAGGTACTTCAAACAAATTGTGGGAAGTTTGATGTACCTAACTTCAACAAGACCAGACATCATGTATGCGGTTAGTATGATAAGTTGTTACATGGAGCATCCAACGGAAAAACATCTCAATGCAGCAAGAAGGATACTTCGTTATGTGAGAGGAACCTCTGATTTGGGGGTATTCTACAAAAAAGGAGATGATCCGAAGATAGTTGGCTATACAGATAGCGACTATGCAGGTGGTATAGACGATCGTAAAAGTACTTCAGGAAGTATTTTCTTGATGAGTTCAGGAGCTATTTGCTGGTCTTCAAAGAAGCAACCTATTGTAACACTCTCAACGACAGAAGCAGAATTTGTGGCAGCAGCAGCATGCTCGTGCCAAGCAATTTGGTTAAGAAAAATGCTTGAAATTCTTAATCAGAAGCAACCAAGTACGACGGTTATATATTGTGATAATATGTCAACTATTAAGTTGTCTAAAAATCCTGTGTTGCATGGAAGGAGCAAGCACATCGATGTTCGATTTCATTTCTTGCGTGATTTGTGTAAAGAAGGCATTATTGAACTCAACTTTTGCCGAAGTGATGAACAAATCGCAGACCTATTCACAAAGCCCTTGAAACAACCATTGTTCGAGAAGCTCAGAAGAAAGATGGGGATATGCAGAATCCAAGATGTATATCAAGAAGATGAAATGAAGTCCTAAACTGATTTCCGCAGAATTCAGTTTAAGAGAGGGTGTTGAAACTAATAATAGCTAATAATAGAATTTGAATTAGTTACGGAAGAGAAGGAGGAGGTGAATTCAAATTCATCCACAAAATCATCCACAAAAATCTCAACCAATTCCGGGAATCCCCTATAAAAGGACCTCCCTCCCCATCACTCAAATCACTCCTCCTCTCAATCTCAATTCAGTTTTCTGTTGTCACCCACACAATTTACACTCATCTGAACTGAATAGTTCTTGAAAGGGACATCTAGTGCATCTGACCCTTTCCATCCCTTTCAATCAAAGAAATTATGGACCAATGCTGATCCCTTTCAAGGGATTTTTTTAATCCTGTGGACTAATGCTATAAAGCTCTTAGACAAACCTAGAAAAAGAATGTCTTGACAGCAATTCAAATAATATTCAGGGAAGAAAACCCCTGTAGAAGCCAAAATCTTTCTGGCCACAACCCCACCACTACCATTTGCAAAAGATCAAAGAAAACCCAAACACTGTAGAAATGGTGACGACTTGAAAAGAAAAAACCGAAATAAGAATGGAAGGATCTGAAAATCATTTCAAACCTTAGAGTAATTCCAGACTTCAAATTCTACCCACCTGTCTCCAAGACTGTTTTGTAGAGGATAATATCTTTTTGGAGTGTGCTAACTGCTAATATTTTAGCTACAAAATGAAATTATGTATTAAGATTTTTGTAATTACCTTCCTTTACTAATTTCTGCCGAGCAAAGCACTTTTATGTAAGCTCCTTGGGTATTTTGAGGTTGTCTACTCTCTTTTTTGAAGTTTTTCATTGTTAATATATATTGTTTCCTATCAAGGTTTGTGTCTGTGGGTGGGTTGGGGGGTTGGACATGAGGGTGGAAGAGAGAGTGAATGTCAGATGTAACTAACTAGCAAAACAGGAGAATTTATTCATATAGAGGCAAAAGAGAGTTCTAGAAAAATCTTAGTTAGGTTGGGAGCTTCACCGTATGTCATGGTCTGTAATCTCATCACTTTCTAATGCAGGTATTGCTAGAATTCATTCAGAAAATAAATGATGATGATGGGTAACTTCTTTCTCTAAGATTTATCTAGTTTTAATTTCAAGTATTGTAAATAACTTGTTTAAAGCAGTCCCATCCTTGCCTTTTCAATTGAGAGTTGTTGAGCTTTTCAACATACTACACTTTAGGATAATGTATGAAAATCAACAGGCCAATGGAAGAACAACGGCAACGCTATGGACCACCTTTGTATAAGCTTACAACAATGGTCCGCCTTATTCAACTCTTTATTTCATTATCATGGAGACGCTTTGATGCTAGGAAACTGTATGAAATCCTTCTTTTCATGTTACAGTTGATCCTTGAATTGTAGCATTTTATTGTAAGGGGTAACTTATTGTTTCTTTTTCCTGTTGAGGGAACGAACACTCTGGTTCTGTTTTTTTCTTTGATGGTTTCTTGTGGTTATTGAGCAGAAGGGATCATCTTGCTATTTTGGAACAAGCCGTTGATGTGTATGCCTCTGAGCTTGAGAGGTTCCTCGTCTTCATTCGGTAGTATTACTGTCTCCAGCATAATTAGCTTCCTCAATACGTTTAGTCCTTTTGGGTAACGTTGAAGGCCCACAATGGATTGCATCTCATGGATAGTTTTCATTGATTATTGATTTGGAACTTTTCATCATGTGCTTTAAATGTTAATTTCTCTTCGAATGCATAAATATATTGAAATTATATAATTGAATATTTCTTTTGGGTGGGGGTGTTGGGTAGAGTGGTATGTCTTTGTTGTTTGTATGTCAAAGGTTAATTCTTGAATAAATGGATAAAAGAGGATGTATTGTTCACAATGTATGGTGACATAATATTCTACTGGAATTCAAGTGGGCTAAAATTTGAAGGAAAAGCCGTATTGGTTCGAAAAATGTGATTTTGCAAAGAATTATGTTTTTTATCCGTCCTAATTACTCTTGCAATGCAATTGACTTTAGCTGGGAGGCTCATTTGTAAATCGTAATGGTTGTCGGTTCTATTGTTTATTGGTTCTTTTGGCTGTCTTTTCCATAGTAACAGCTATCCTAAAGAGAGAATTAAAAAGGTGTGTCTTGATTAGTGTTTCTGTCATTTATCAATAGAATGTGTTTCTGTTTCCAAAAAGATAATTTCACATAACCTCAGCTAGGCTACTGTATATTGTGGTTTTGTTGTCAGTATCTCCATTTTTATTGGTTTTTGGTCCTCATTTTTCAGCGAGGTTTTCAACAATGCTCCATTCTTTATTCCAGCAGATGTGAGGTAATTGACATTTTTTATGTGTATATAACAACAGGTTTTCTTCTAGAAAAGGATGCTTTTGAATCTTTTCCACCATTGAGGCCCAAATGGAAAGGCTTCTTTGCTTATTGCTGACTAAAGCTCAACTCTCATCCTTTCCAGCAACAATTTTAACACTGACCATGGAACATTTGGATTTATTAATATTTCATCGTTTGATGAAAATATATAAAACAAAGAAGAAAGAACACAAGAGAATTAACAAGGGCTGGGAAACATGATCCAACAAGGAAAAAACTGCAGCCCAAAAGGAGCCAAAGGGGACCTCACCTAATGGCCCAGGAAATGGCTCCCGTCTAAGAGAATAGGAAACTTAACGAATAATTACAGAAGTTTTCGGACACATGACGTCCAAAACAAGGCATTAAAAGGACCAAACCTCGTCCCTTGATCTCTCATGCCCTTAAAGAATCTTTTATTACTCCCAATCTAAATCTAATCCATAATGTTAACACCGGGCAGGAGACCTGTCACACAGAATTGACCTTATTTCAAAAATATGATTGTTGCATAAAATCAATTGAAGTTAAAAAGTTAAGTGTTCTTATTTACTTTCTACCAATCTTTTTGTTTCGCTCTCCCTTTATCCATCCCTATAATCATCTGTCCGTCTGTCAATCTCTCTACAGGAAAGGTGATAGCTACAAAGAGATTAGTGTTCCAGCTGGAAAGACTTATGAGGTTTATTTTTTCTTCAGCGTTTTCCTTTTATTCTCACATTTTTCTTATTTTCCGATTCCATCAGTATTGGATTTTTTTCCCTGAGAAAAATAGGTAATAATTTATTAATTGTCGTTTAAAGCATTCCAGAAGTCAAGGGTTCCGTAGAAGAATGTATTTTAAGTTTATGAGTTTTGTTCATTTAGGTTTCTGATATTAATTTATCACTATTCTTATCCGACATCACGTTTTTTTAAGTTAAGTAGAGAAATTCACTGGTTAGTAAACTTCATATTGGATACACAGAAATGGATGCATATTTATTTAGTTAGCATTGAACTTGATTTGCTTTTTATTTTTAATTGATCTTTAGGTTGGTTGTTGAGAAAAGAATGCTAAATTATTAGCACAATTTAATCACCCATCTCGCAGTAATTTGTAAAAATATTATATCAAATTCTGTTGGATGCTTCATATATATATATTTGTATTTTTTGGCTTGGAACCTGTTGGATGCTTCATATATATATTTGTATTATATCAAATTCTGTTGGATGCTTCATATATATTTTCATCTGAGTTATTTTTTTATTTATTTTTTTCCTGTCATTTGCTTTGATGATATTTTTTTGTTCAAGGTAAAGGTATAAAATATATTAAATATGGATTAATTTTATAGGTTTCAATAAGTGTGGAATCTATCAATTCATATATTGCCTGGGATTTCTCGTTGGTTCAAGGCAAGATGAATATGGTACAATTTCTAATTCCCAAACCATCTTTTGACTTGATTGCATCTTTTCTTTGTCGCATAGTTAATGCTCTCTAGTCATCTCATTTTATCCTGAGGATATATTTGTTAAGCCTTATTTATGTTGTTGCAGAGTTATTTTTGTTTTCCTCTAGTTTAAAATTAAGTGAAAATTTCGTTCTCTTCATAAATTCATTCTAGCATTCATCTAGTTATTATGTTCTTGGTAAGTTTCGCATTGCTAATGAAGCTATTGAAAATTACAAAGTGCTTGATTTGGATGGGTTATTGTTAAGATTGATTTTTGAAAGGGGTTTACTATCATATGGATTGGGTCTTCTAGATAAGGTTATCTGAAAGAAAAACTTGGGTTATTAGTGGAGCACTTGGATGAGGAATGAATCTTTAATGAATGAATATCTACTATGTATTTTGGATAATGGGAGGCTAGGCTAAACTTGTTAGTACTAAAAGTATCAATTAGGTGATCCTTCATCTCTTTTCCTTTTCAATTTTCATCATGGTTGGTCTCTATTGAGGAATACATTTAAACCGAAGTATCGTATCTAAAGTTCTATAATTTGCAAATGCTATTGGATTTTCTTTTGCAACTATTGATTAAATTAACTCCCCAAAGTTCTCTTGGATTGGAGCCCCTCCGTAGCTCATTAGGCCCTGTCCTTGTTTGGCTCTTTTCTTTTTTAGCTGTTACTTTTGTAGATCCGTTTTTTTTTTTTTTTGGCAAGTGTTGGTGTGAGATTCCACATCGATTGGAGAAAGGGGACGAGTGCCAACGAAGACACTGGGTCTCAAAGGGGAGTGGATTGTGAGATCCAACATCAGCCGAAGAAGGGAACGAAGCATTCTTTGTAAGTGTGTGGGAACCTCCCCCTAGCACACGCATTTTAGAAAATCTTGAGGGGAAGCCTAAATGAAAGTCCAAAAATGACAATATCTCATGGTGGGCTTAGGCTTGGGCGGTTACAGTGCCTTTGTATATTCTTTATTTCTTTTCCTCAATGAAAGCTTTGTTTGTAATATTGATATATAGATAATTAGATATATATATATATATATATATATATATATATATATATATATATTTATATGCTCGCCTTTCCCTTTGGTCATTTTGTGCTTATGAACAATTAAGAATATAACAAATCAACGAGTTTCTGGAAAGCTATACATGGTATAAATATATGTGTTTTTAGTTCAGATCCATCGGATTTATGTTCTTTAACGTGGCTGGTTTACGCACGCCATCATATAGTCATTTTGGTTGAACGATCATATGATCATACATTCTTATTGAAATGGAGCTGCACTTTATGCTTTGCTCAGGACATTGGATTCAGTGTGGAGTGTGAAAGCCCTGGTGGGGGAAAGACTGTTAGTTGATTTTCTTCCTAGTTCCTAGTTTTTCATTTTTCTGATTATTTAATTTGATCAGCTTTGGTTCTGCTTTTCATGGGTTTCGTACTGTTTTTCTTGCAGTTGATATTGCCACACAAACGTTACGAGTCCGATCAGGTGAGTTTTATGTTAACATACTGTTGATGTGCGGTCAGAGAATTGAACATATATCAATCTTTGACATGGTTATTCGAGTCTTGTCCACTTAGCTTTGCTCGAATTGACAATAGGCTATGTGCGGTTGATTTCATTAAGCGTCAAATTACTAACATAAATTGGTGGGAAATGTCACTAGGGAAACTTCTGCACTTGCATTGCTGGGGACTACAAGCTGATTTGGGACAATACATATTCAACCTTTTTTAAGAAGGTAACCATCTCTTTCTTCGAGTTGCCTTGAAGCTTCTTTTAATCGAAAACAACTTTGAATGGATTAACCGTTGATTTCTCACCATGCTAGGTTGTGCGCTATAAGGTCGACTGCATACCTCCTGTGGTAGAGCCATTGCAAACTGCTGCAGAAGAAGATTAAGTGTCTCAGGTGGTCACTTCACTCCATTGTAGGCAACGTTTTTTTAGATTGTAACATACATTCATTGTTTTTATAGTATCTTCGTCTCGAAGTTTGTGTTTGTTTGTTCGCACGTGGACTAAATCTTGTAAACAATGCAACCAACCAGTGAAAGGAATTGCTGTAATTAAGGAAATATGTCATTTAGTTACACGATCATAGCATCAAAAGTGCTAATCCTTCTCTAGCTGATGAAAAACACTTTTTACCCTTCATTTAAAGTGGTTCGTTTGTAATGGATTGTGATCTCTCTCAAGTGCAAATTCAGACATAATACGATGGAATGAGCATGGAAACCAGGCTTGTTCCTATCGTGTTCTTTGAAGAACAAAATACAGTTCAAAGATGGTCGTTTATGAACATATCAAAGGAAACCAAAACTGCAGAAGAGTGCCATTATGTAGGAATAACATTAAGGTTTAGGTAAAACTGTTCGCTTAGCGGATTCCAGTGTGTTGAGTAATAGCATAGCAACCGTCATCGGTCCGACTCCACCGGGAACTGGCGTAATAGCAGATACCACCCTTGATGCCTCTTCATAGCAAACGTCTCCAATTAGTCGGTACCCATGCTCACAGCTAGGATCCTGGGAATCCAGGGCAATGCAAAGTTATACTGTGAAATAATATTATTAAAGAAAGCTGTAACAAAGATCAAAGTTTTTTAAAAAATAACTACAAATTCTTAAAAAATGAATTGAAATTTGAATAATTAACTAATTGATACATTATTCTATCCTTAAAAATCTAGGACTGGGGCTAAACGAATTAGATAGGACTTGAAACTAATCATCGAACAATAATTCGAACAGTTCATTGTACTTTGACATTTGAAATCCATTGTTAGTAAAAGAAAACTGTTCTATTTGTTATGATTAGTTGTGATTTCAATTAGACATTCAGTTTCTTTATTAAAAGTTCCCACAAAGAATTCATATGTTAAGACACATGGTACATGGAAGTGATGAATTTGTGTAAATAAGTTCAGGTTAAATTTTGCAAATAAGCATCAAGAAACAAGTACACATTTCCAAATGTATTAATAAAACATTAATTATTCGCATTTTTAAAAAATAAATAAATAAACCTAACTGAGAATTTTAAAAGATCAAATAAGTAGGTCGAGTCGAACCTCTCCGTCTATCTTTTTAGTCAAAAGTATATGCCTAAATCAGTTCTACAAGTAAAAATTATCTAAACTATTATAAGCACTTTCTAATTCTAATTCAATTCAAGGAGGTATTATAAAGCTATATACTTTCATTAATTACCTCAACTGGATTTGTCCCCACGTCAATAACCACTGCACCAGGTTTTAGCCAACTACCACGAACCAGATTAGGGACTCCAGCAGCAGCAACCACTATATCCGCTTCACGAGTAATCTGTTCAGGATTCCTAGTAAATGCATGTATAATACTGACAGTGGCATGGTGCCTCTGCAAGAAACCAAAACAGAGAATATTTCAGTACTAATATAATTCTAGAACACAAGTGACAATAGTGTGTTTTGGACATAAAAGTGAATGTATATACATACCTGCAACAGCAAGGACGTGGGTAATCCAACAATATTACTTCTTCCAATCACCACGGCTCTCTTCCCCGATATTTCTACACCGGATCTGATCAACAGCTCAATGCAGCCTTTGGGAGTGCAGGGTAAGAAAAGTGGTTCCCTACCTCTCATAGCAAGATTCCCCATGTTAAGTGGATGAAAGCCGTCAACGTCTTTTTCTAGGCGCACAGAGCTTAGAATTTTGCTCTCATCCAAATGCTGTTCCGAAATATCAAATTGTCAATCTCTATATTCCTTAAAACCCAATGAGTTCTAAATTCGTGTTAATAGCAAAACATGTCATCTACAGCAACTAACATGTCAGGCGATTCACAAAACATTTATGTCTTGCAAGAAAAGAACCATCCCATGCCAAATCTAAGCTACTATGGCTATGCAGACAGTGAGGAGATGATAATAGATGAATAATGCTTCCTCAGAAACCAGAAACCAAGAAAGATGGACATCACGATCATGTTAATGTATTTAGATTGAAATGTGCAAAATTAAATATAGTCATGGTCCAGTTTTAGAAATTACTTGAGGTAGAGGAAGCTGCACAAGTATACCATGAATAGATGGATCTTCATGAAAATGTGACAAAACATTAAGAACTTGATCTTCAGTACAATTGTCGGGCAAAGAAGAAACCTCTGACTTGATTCCAGCTTCTTCACATGCAGCTATTTTGTTGCGAACATAAGTCTGTGAGTCCCTTCTCTCGCCAACCATGATTACAGCCAAGCCAGGAACCTTTCCCATAGAATTCTTCATCCTCCTCACCTCACTAGTTATTCCTGATGTAATTTCATCAGCGATCACCCTACCATCAATTACTGTTGTACTCTGCGGGTCATCTGCTAGTAACATTGGATCAACAGACACTAAGCACACCCAGATAAGAAATTGTTCAATAATGAACATAATAATATAATAAACCCGTATGGTGACACCACCTGGGTTTGAATTGGGGTAAAGGAGATGACAAGCAAGGAGGGTTACAGAGAAAAGCTGACATACCATACGATGTAGCAGTGGAAGAATAATCAAGACAGCTTGAACTATTCCAAATATCAGGAAAATCAATGGATATGAGAGGTGGAGACAATAAAATCTGCCGTGCATCTGTTGTGATTCTTCTTTTCATAGCTGCAGATGTAAGTAGGACTCTCCTGCTCAGACTCTTGTACAATAACGCCATGTGTACACAGTGATCACTGTCACAATTGAAGAGTTAGCATTAAGGTTGTTAGATATATACATATATTAGCTGATGAGTAAAACAACTAGCAAGGTTAAGATAATTTCCAAATAAAGCTTTCACAGAAGAAATTCTATCAAGAACACAAATATAACGCATCCAAATTTTGATTTATGAGATAATCCTTCTTCTTCCATTGTCTATCTTTGCATTTATCTCATGCGATCTTCAAGAAGGTCTCGTCTCAGCTTCTACAATGGCACCCCCAAGCATCAATTCATTAGTAAACCAAATTGCAGTTATAGCTAACATATTTTCATTAATATGACAACTAAATATTAAACCCAATAGCATAAACTTGTCAGTACATTGGAAAGGCTGTCACGAGAGTAGATTCAGTTGGCCTTCATAAGTCTAAGCAACTTCCTTCAGCTGTGGCCTGATTTTATGATAGCTTGATTTTAGATCCAATTTCGAAAAACAAAATAGCACCATTTGTTACATCTAAAAGTGGATCTATTATTGGGATAGGAAATGTATTTAAGTGTGGTTTCTTGATTGAGCACTCAATAATCTATTTAAAATCTTGAGCTGCCAACTTCCTTTTAACAAATAGGCTGGGCTAGCACAACCGCTACAAATGCAAATCCTCCCCAATTTCAACATCATATTATGGCGCTCTACTAATTGGATTGCCTCTGTTTCATCTAACTGGCCCAACAAATTGAGCACCCACAACAACATTTGTCTCCATTTTCAGCCCATTTTCAAAGCTTCTCTCAAGTCAAGTATATTTGACAATAGCCCAACCAACATTCTGAATTACTATATGTACTCCAGCACACTTCCCTCTAGATAGACTGAGAGTAATTTTACATACATCAGTCCTTCCCGTGTCACCATTTATACATCCAACTAAACCATCCCAGTTCCTCTCTGGCCATAAACTACACTAGTCTTGTTTTCACTGACTTCGATAACTAAGCCATCTCTACGAACATCTAAAAACCCATCCATCAGGATCAGTGCCACCAAGAGACCACTCATCTATTAAATACAATCTTAAGAAGTGTACTTGAAGGAGCAAATATGACACCACTTCTCTACAAAAGATACCCTGTCATATAACTAACCATCATCTTGACATGCTAAATATCCCGTGCTTCCTCCTTGCATGCAAAAACTTTTTTGGAGGCTTATAAAAGTTTCCAAATAAGTTTTTAAATAAACACAAAGTTCAAAGTTGATGAATTTGATCAAAGATATGAGATAGGATCGGCAGAAGAATATAATATTAAATTTTCTCCAGCAAAATATGTCCAAACTTATGGAGTGTATTTCCAGTAAACTTTTGTCCCTGCAGTCCCAATGGACACTGTCAGAAATCTTCTGTCTCGTTGTGAACAGAGTTAACTATTGTACTAACACAAGTAAAGAAGAAAAAAAGTTTGTCTCCATCGGAATTCACAAGAGACAGTATGTATGGCCCCTCTTCTGGGGCTGAAAGATCAATCTGCAAAAACAAAAGTGTCTGTGGAAGTCTCTCTTTAATTAGAAACAAAATTCAAGATCACAGTTAAAACAGTATACTGAATCCATCAGGAAAATGGAGGACAGAAAATTTAAGATAGATCATCAGTGGTTTTGGTTCTACACACACGTCTATTAGAACATGATGTTCTACACACAAAGAAAGGGAAGTTAAGGTATACAAACCTATATTGAGCTATACAAACCTCTATTTAAAATTTACAGCTCACTTAACTCATAGTAATGTACTAGACCCGTACTTGGTATCTCTTACAAACATTTTTTTTCCCTTCAAAGGAGTCAGACCTAGACTAGGACACTCAGCAATGTTTCAGCTGCTCAATACAGAACATCAAGTGGAAGCCCACATTGGAAGGACAATAATAACACTCAACGAAAACCTACTACTTGTAATGTGAAGGATGGGTAAATTCAAATAGCTTCCAACCGCAATGGAAGAATGAGTAGATTAATAGACACAACCCAACGATTGTACATCACCGGGAGTTTCTCACATACAATTATAACTAAATGAGTAGTGGTCGATGAAATCACCATTCTTCTTTCTCATCCTTTTTCTTGTCACTGTCAACTACAATGTCAAGATTCATTCCCTTCTTGCCATATAACTCATTCGCTAAATCTCTAATCTATACCATTCAAGTATTTTACTACCAAGAATCATTTACTTTAGAACGCTAAATTTGAACAAGTAAACCGAAAGGAACACAACACAATAACAAGCACCAAGATCATAATAGCAAATTATCAACATCTTAAAAAAGAAAATACAAGAAACGACTAAGAACGATTGCTGATCACATAACAGACCACAATAAATAAAGGTAAAGGCATACACAGCGGAGGAAAACGCCACAGAACAATTACCTGAAGGCAGCTCCGGCGTTAAATGCTCAAATGTCCTTCGATTGAAATCTTGTAGAATCAAAATCAACGGACTACAGCACTGCCATGACCCTACATCAGAAAATTTTATGAAAGAATTCGTTCCTCTCGCATCTTTGAGTTAAAAATCGTTCCTCCATCGCCGCCGCCAGTGGCTGACTTGGATTCCACCACCGAGTTTATCTCCTTTCTTGTACTCAATGGATCGCAAAATCGAAAGAGTGATGCTCACTGAACCAAGCAAATCAAAGGATTTGGCTAGGGCATTGGCGCATGAACTTTTTCTGCAAATTGACAGTTCCAAGGAAATGGAGCGAACTACAGAACAACACTGAGCTTTCTTTCGTTTTATTTTCCTTCGTCTTGTTTAGACTCACTTTTTTTATTTAAGCTTTCTTATGAATATTCTAATTCGCTAAAATAAAAAAATATATATATATAAAAATAGTTTAAAAAAAAAAAAATGTTTTGAAAATTTTCTATTTATAATCAAATAAATTACAAATATATAGAAATAATAATAAATTAAAAGATATAATATAGATAAATATCTATATATTTGCCTATAATAAAATATCAAATATATATATATAAAACTACAATTTAATATTAAATATCCTAAACCCTAATTTATTTAAAGCTTCCATTTTTAACTCTAAATATCACACTACCACCGTCGTTTGCTTGATTCGTCATAAATTACACTATAGTCTTATACCATTTGTAAAGCCCCACAATCACGAGACTTGAATTTCAAATTCTAAATTACGAGTGTGAGACCTCACATCAATTGGAGAGGGGACGAAACATTGTGGAAACCTCTCCCGAGTAGACGCCTTTTAAAAACCTTGAGGGGAAGCTTGAAAGGGGAAAACCAAAGAGAACAATATCTAATAACGGTGGGCTTGGGCTGTTACAAATAGTAAAAGAGTCAAACACTGGACAATGTGCTAACGAGAATGCTGAGCCTCGAAGGGGGTAGACATCGGGCAGTGTGCCAGCAAAACGTTGGACCCCAACCCCAAAGGGGAGTGGATTGTGAGATCCCACCTCAATTGGAGAGAATAACGAGTCTTAGCGAGGACGTCGGTCAGAGAGGGGAACAAAACATTTTTTATAAGGGTGTAGAATGGAGATAGAATATTCACATTATAATTTTTAAAAATTATGTTGGTAGAATATTATATTATATTTTTGCTTATAAAATATTGTTGGATTTATTAGGATGTGTTTTATATTAAAAAATGAAAATTATTCATTAAAAATATTCTTTGAACTGTATAATTTATTTTTTTTAAAAATAAAAGAAATCGAAAAATAGCAAAAATAAATAGGAAATTTTGCAGGGATGAGAATTGAAAAAGGTGGCGTAGTTTCCCCGTCCCTATCACACTCATGGAAATTTCTAAATGTCAGTCACGTAAGAAAAACTTAATCCAAACCAGACAAACTCACTCAATTTCATTTCGATACCCTAAAACTCATAAGCTAGTTAGCCCTGGTCGAGTTTACTCAACCCATTCTCCAGTCTCCAGCACATCGAGAATCGCACTAGCAAATAAAAGACGAAACCAACGAAATTCGTTCGGTCGATTTGGTCGATTCTTCTTCGGCTCCAACCCGTATCCAAACCTTTAAAAACCCTAAAAGGCAAGTGATAGACTCTTGAGTACCAAAAAGGGAGTAATAACAGAGAGAGAGATCCAAATGGCTTAATAATAAAGCTACAAATGAATCAACCAAAGCCAATCAAAATTCGTGAAGATTTGGTATTGGATGCCTCGTTAGGAAGCACTCTCGTCGTTGTGTTTTTGGCTGCTAACTCGTTCGCCTTTATCTTTGGAATTTTTTAAGCATTGTTTATGCCTTTGTTTCCTTCTCTAAGCTCTTTTTCTCATTCGTTCTCGTAATATCTTCCAACCCGAAGTACCGAATCTCGAACTTAGTTTCATATATAGAATGAACCCACGTTGAAAGTTTTAAGCAATAGTCTTTACATTTACTGAACGATTGGAAAACCCGAGTAAAGAGGTTTCGAAAATGTCAATAACAAGATATTTCTTATTACGCGAGAGTAAATGAGGGAAAAAAGCTTAAAGGAAATGAAATTCAGTATCTATAACAACAAGGTACACATTCTTTGTCAGTAGCTCAGTCATAGAAAGTTTATAGTTAAGTGTGTTATGTTAGGTGAGGACTAGGCTCTGATACCATGAGTAACAGCCCGTCTATTTTGGCTACGTATTGCAGCCACTAAAGAGGTTTACACACCGTTAACGGAGGCGAGTGTTGGATGATGAAAGTCCCACATCGATTAATTTAGGGAATGGTCATGAGTTTATAATCTAAGAATACACTCTCCATTGGTATGAGGCCTTTTGGGAAGCCCAAAGCAAAGCCATGAGAGCTTATGCTCAAATTGGACAATATCATACCATTGTGGAGAGTCGTGTTCGTCTAACATGGTATCAGAGCCATGCCCTAAACTTAGCCGTGCCAATCTGTCAAGCTTCCTTGAAGGTACGAAGGCAGTAAAAAATGACTAAGACTCCAAAGGAGTCAAGCCTCGATTAAGGGGAGGCGTGCTTTGTTCGAGGGGAGGTGTTGGATGATGAAAGTCCCACAATCGGTTAATTTAGGGAATGGTCATGGGTTTATAATCTAAGAATACACTCTCCATTGGTATGAGGCCTTTTGGGAAGCCCAAAGCAAAACCATGAGAGCTTATGCTCAAAGTGGACAATATCATACTATTGTGGAGAGTCGTGTTCGTCTAACATGGTATCAGAGTCATGCCCTAAACTTAGCCGTGCCAATAGATTGACAAATCCTCAAATGTCGAACAAAGGACTCCAAAAAGGAGTCAAGCTTCCTTGAAGGTACGAAGGCAGTCAAAAATGACTAAGACTCCAAAGGAGTCAAGCCTCGATTAAGGGGAGGCGTGCTTTGTTCGAGGGGAGGTGTTGGATGATGAAAGTCTCACATCGGTTAATTTAGTAAGGGGAGGCGTGCTTTGTTCGAGGGGAGGTGTTGGATGATGAAAGTCTCACATCGGTTAATTTAGGGAATGGTCATGGGTTTATAATCTGGGGAGGTGTTGGATGATGAAAGTCTCACATCGGTTAATTTAGGGAATGGTCATGGGTTTATAATCTTATGCTCAAAGTGGACAATATCATACCATTGTGGAGAGTCGTGTTCGTCTAACAGCGAGATCTTGGAACGGATTAATTGTTTTTAAAATTATAACAGCTAATTGTTTTTATAAGAAAAAAAAAGGGTAATTAGAATGAATTCACATGCAGAAAAGATCAAGAGGAAAATGGCGAAAAGAAAATGGGGAATAGAAGCAAAAGGTCAAACACAAAGCCTTCAATTTCTTTTTTGGGGAACCGCACAATTGACAGCTCTTTACCCCACGCCTCGGTTATACCGCCGCCCCCTGCTTCTGCCCTGCCCACCGCACCTCCTTTTCCTCATATATTTTTTTCAAATTAATACAAAATAATATTAAATTTTACCTTTTATCTTACAAAAAAAAAAAAAAAAAAAACACATAAATATTTAAAAATATATTATTATACGAAAATTAGTAATATATATATTTTTAAAAAATACTATTTTAGTTTAAAAAAAATAATTAGCATTGATTTAGACCAAAATTATTAATATTTTATTTTTTTAAAAAAAATTATTAACATTGATTTGGACGAAAATTATTAATATTTTATAAAAAAACTATTTTAGTTAAAAAAATATATTATTATAGTTGATTTTGGACCAAAACTATTAATATTAATCAACCAAAATTATTAATATTTTATTAAAAAATATATTAGTATACGAAAATTAGTAATATATATATTTAAAAAAAATACTATTTTAGTTTAAAAAAAATAATTTGATTTAGACGAAAATTATTAATATTTTATAAAAAAAACTATTTTAGTTAAAAAATTATATTATTATAGTTGATTTTGGACCAAAACTATTAATATTAATGAACCAAAATTATTAATATTTTATTAAAAAATATATTAGTATACGAAAATTAGTAATATATATATATATATATATATATATTTATTATTTTTTTTAAAAATACTATTTTAGTTTAAAAAATAATTAGCATTGATTTAGACGAAATTATTAATATTTTATTTTTTTTAAAAAAATACTATTTCAGTTAAAAAAAATTATTAACATTGATTTGGACGAAAATTATTAATATTTTATTAAAAAATATATTATTATACGAAAATTAGTAATATATATATATATATATATTTAAAAAAAATACTATTTTAGTTTAAAAAAAATAATTAGCCATTGATTTAGACGAAAATTATTAATATTTTATGTAAAAAAAATACTATTTCAGTTAAAAAAAAATTATTAACATTGATTTGGACGAAATTTATTAATATTTTATAAAAAAACTAAAAAAAAAAATTATTATAGTTGATTTTGGACCAAAATTATTAATATTTTATTAAAAAATATATTATTATTTTTTATTTTAGACTAAAATTATTAATATTTTAGTTTAAAAAATATATTATTATCGTTGATTTTAGACTAAAACTATTAATATTAATCAACGAAAATTATTAATATTTTATTTCAAAAAATACCCTTTTAGCTTAAAAAAAAATATCATTTTTTTTCTTTCTATTTCAAAAAATATTCTTTTTGAGTTTTCAAATTTTCTAAATACTTTTAAATTTTTTCAAAAATTTTAAAAATTATCTTTAAATTTTTGAAAAAATTTCAAAGAAATTTAATTTTTTTAAACAAAAATCAAATATATTTTACATTTAGTACTCTCTTTCAAAAATATTTATGATTTTTTATAATTAACGATAAAAATATTTTTAATTTTTTTTAATTTGAAAATATTATTGAAACTTATTTTATACCAATTATGATAATTTTACTAAAATAATTTTTCCCCTCCATATATATATATATATATATATATATATATATATATATATATATATATATATATATATATATTTATAATATGAAAATTATAAATAGTTTTGGTGGTTTCCATTTCCCCATATATTTGACTTTTAATTTATTTGTTTCAATCCCACCTTTTTACCTTTTTGCTCAAACCTTTTCAAACTTACATGGGGATTTACCAATGCACTTTTGCTTCCCCTTTTTCAATGTTTCTATTTTTTTTTTCTTTCCAATTTTTAAATTAAAAATAATTTTTAACTGTCTAATTCAAAAGGATACTATACTAAAAGCTGACGGGTGACAAGAGCAAAGACGATAAACAATGAGAGAGCACAGTCGAGCACAGTCGAGAGAGCACAGACGATAAACAACGAGAGAGCACAGACGATAAACAACGATAAATTATTTTTTTAATTATTTTTTGGTATTTAAGTTTATTTTTAGTGTTTAATTTTTATGAGTTAAATTCTTAAATTTTTAAATATGATATGTTAATATTTTAAATTTGTTTTTGTTGAAATAAATATTAATTCCAAAAAACACATATAATATATTAAATTAAAACTTTATTTCATGAATTTTTAGCTATTTCTCTACGGATTTTAACTTATTTGATTTATTATAACACAATATTAAAAAAAATTTAAAATTAATTTAAATTTATATTAATAGAACTATTAATTCTTAAATTTTTTTAATAATAGATAATTATAGATATCTTAGATTAAATTTAATTATTTACAAATATAATCTAAAATAAAGCGATTAAAATATTTTTGTAAAGAAGAAAATAGAACAAAAAAAAAAAAGAAAAAAAAAATATATATTTCCACACTATAAAATGGATAAATGGACAAGTCAAGAAATTTTGGAAGGCAGCAATGGAACAATGGCGGGTCGATTATGTTCCTCCATTTCCGCCATGGATGCGACAGTGAAGAAGCTCCTGCTCAAACTGTAATGCGAAGAAGAAGAAGAAAGAAGAAGGAATCTATCTGTCTCCTCTTCCATTTTAATACTGTTTTCTTTTCAGTTCCTGATCTTCTCGATTTTGCACAACGATTTTCTTTTCAAAAAGCCCCCTCTCAGATGCATCCAAAATCCATGGCTTCCGCGTACTTCGCATTATTAAAAAGCATGAAGGCATAGGGGCTCGTGTTCTTGCTCGAGAGAGAGAAGAGGAATCCTCTAGTTGCTGTCCAAATCTTCGTGCCGTTTTCTGCTTGGATTTCGCTTCTGTTTCCAAATCTTACAAATCTGCGTTAATGGTAGCCATTACTCCTGCTACCTCCTTCTCCTTTATGAAGAACACCGATCGTCGCCATTGCCATATCTTCTCTACCTCCAATGGCAACTTACGCTTTGCTTGGCGACTCCACTGTCCGCGTTAATGGCGGTTTCGATGACGGTTCACTGACCAGCAACTCGACGAACAGCAACGGCAGCGAAGAACTTAATCAACAGATTGTTCAAGTTCCGGTTCAGGTTTCTCAACCGCCGCCGCGATTACCGCCTGGAAAAATGGTGCGGAAGAGAATCGCGTCGGAGATAGAGATCGAAGAACTCGACGGCGGAGGCGGCGGTATCGCCGCCGTTAATCCACGGTTTTGCCGGCGGAGTTTGGCTTCCGATCGTCCTTTTGCAGGTGGAGAAAATAAGACGAATGAGAATGTGGATAACTATTGTTCTTCTTCAAACCCTAGCCATGGCGCTAACCACTCCACTGTGCATAATTTAACCGCTCTGACGTCAGTTGTGGTCGCAGGGTCAAATTTATCAAATCCTCCGTCTGGTTCTGATGCTACGGCTTCTTCCACTACCTCCAACGTCTCGTCTCTTATTGATAGTACTCTTCCTGTTCTTCGTCCTCAGCCCCACCATCGCCATTTGCAGAATCCTGCAGTCTGTGGGTTTTCTGGTTTACCCTTGTTCCCACCCGAGTCGAATCACCACCACCACCACAACAAGTTCAATACTCGCAATAATCCTTTCCCCATTCCTAATCCATGTCAGGTTGTTCTTCATAATCCTCCAACTTCTACAACGACCTCCATTATTGCCGCCGCTTCTACTCCGATGGATGATTCCTCCGCCACTGCTTGGATCGACGGTATTATCAAGGATTTAATCCACAGCTCCACTGTCGTATCCATTCCTCAGCTTATTCAGAACGTTCGTGATATTATCTACCCTTGTAACCCCAATCTTGCGAACCTTCTTGAGTTTCGTCTTCGTACTTTGACAGAACCTAACGTTCCTAACTTCGCCGCTGAGGATCAGCGTGTTAGGAAATCGCCCTTGCCGTCACCAGCGCCGGTGGGCGGCTTGGGGCTGCAGCAGAGGCAGTTCAATCAAGAACATGAGCAAGAACAGGATTGTTCTGGGTTGAAGCTTAATCTCGATTCTTCTCTGCATAATCTTCCTAATTTCTCCTCTCAGCCTCCGTTTCATGACCCATACCTCCACTGGGGAGCCACTCCTACCCCCGCCCCCACTCCCTCCGTCGCCACCACCGGCGGCGAGGTTCCCGGTCATCAACTTAATCTCTCTTCTGTTGCACATTCATCATTTATTCCTCTAAACCATATCCCTTCTAAGCCACAGCCAGAACAGCAAAACTCCTGTCCGGTCAATGTGAAGGCAGCGGCGGCGGCGGCCGCACAGCCATCGCCCTCGCCGCCGACGAGTAATGATCCTTCAACGACTGCGTTACTGATTAGAGAGATAAAAGAGGAGATAAGGCAACAGAAGAGAGACGAAGAAGGGTTACACCTCTTGACTTTGCTTCTTCAATGTGCAGAAGCCGTTTCTGCTGATAATTTAGAAGAAGCCAATAAGATGCTACTGGAAATCTCGGAGTTGTCGACGCCCTTTGGCACATCGGCGCAAAGAGTGGCGGCGTATTTCTCAGAAGCAATGTCGGCGAGGCTTGTGAGCTCATGTTTAGGCATATACGCCGCTTTGCCGCCGACGTTATTGCCCCATACACACAGCCAGAAGATAGCCTCAGCCTTTCAAGTCTTTAATGGCATAAGCCCATTTGTCAAATTCTCACACTTCACAGCCAATCAAGCCATTCAAGAAGCCTTCGAAAGGGAAGAGAGAGTTCACATCATAGATCTAGACATCATGCAAGGCCTTCAATGGCCAGGCCTCTTCCACATCTTGGCGTCTCGGCCGGGTGGGCCGCCCTATGTCCGCCTCACTGGGCTGGGGACCTCTCAGGAAGTTCTTGAGGCCACTGGCAAACGCCTCACTGAATTCGCCGAGAAGCTTGGCCTTCCGTTTGATTTCTTTCCTGTTGCAGATAAAATTGGCAATCTGGACTTGGAGAGGCTCAACGTGAGCCAAAGGGAAGCCGTTGCCGTCCATTGGATGCAGCATTCTCTTTACGAAGTCACTGGTTCTGATTCCAATACGCTATGGCTTTTGCAGAGGTATACTAACTTACAAACCCTTCAAGCTTTTCGTTTGATCTTCATCTTTCATGGGGTTTCCCGTTAATTACTTTATCATAAGCATATCTTAAGAATTACGACTCTCCATAGTTCTCTCGTGATTTTGCTTTTGTTTTTCACGAAAGGTCTTATAACAATAGAAATGTATTCTTTACTTATAAACCCATGATCATCCTCTTAATGAGCTGATGTGGGACTCCCCATCAACCATCCCCCTCGAACAAAGTATACCATAAGGCCTATGGAGCCCTCAAAGAATTATGAACGTCGAAGGTGTGGTCAAAAAGTGACTCAAATGTCGAATGAAGGGTGTACTTTGTTAAAGTCACGATTCTCTATAATTATATGATATTGTTACTTTGAGTATAAGCTTTCATAGTTTTGCTTTTGGTTTTCTCAAAATTCCTCGTAACAATAGAGATAGTATTTGTACCAACAACCTGGCATTAACATGGCATTAACAGTGATTCTTAGTCTTTCGCTTACCTCCATTAACCCCTTGCTTTTTTTCAAAATGATGAATAGTCTTCAACAGTTTAAATCAAGCAAAAAGTTGACTGACTAATTCATTGTTATCTCTGTGCAATGCACCGTAAAAAAGCTGCACTCTCATCTCATATTTGATATTTTCACTGAATAATCCATTCATTTGTTTACATGTTGCTGATGAGTACATATTAAAAAGCATTGCTATCTCTGTCTTAAACTGATACCAGATTGGCTCCAAAAGTGGTGACGGTGGTCGAACAAGATCTGAGCCACACAGGCTCCTTCTTGGGAAGATTCGTAGAGGCCATTCATTACTATTCAGCACTGTTTGACTCTTTGGGTGTCAGCTATGGCGAAGAGAGTGAAGAGAGGCACTTAGTGGAGCAGCTACTGTTATCAAGGGAGATCAGAAACGTGCTGGCCGTCGGAGGACCGTCGAGGAGCGGCGAAGTGAAGTTCCAAAACTGGAGAGAAAAGCTGCAACAATCTGGGTTTAAGGGCATTTCTCTGGCCGGTAATGCTGCAACTCAGGCCACTCTCCTCCTCGGAATGTTCCCTTCCGATGGGTATACGCTTGTGGAAGACAATGGGACTTTGAAACTTGGGTGGAAGGATCTATGTTTGCTGACAGCGTCGGCTTGGAAGCCGCCGTTTCATCACCATGATGCCGGCAACCACATCCCCAGGTACTGACATTTTTGCATTTTTGATTCTATATAGTGGTGTTGATTTTGTTTGCTAATATCGTCATAATCATTATCATTATTCCCTTATTTTTATGGCTTTTTTTTTTTTTTTTTTTTTTTTTTTTTTTTTTTTTTTTTTTTTTTTT